CTCACACTAATGAAAATTGGTGTGTGTCCTGGTGACAATCGGACAATGTATGTAATGGTTTGGGATAATGTTAGCTTCCATCACTCTGCTGTAGTCAGGTAGCGGTTTGCAGCACACAACAGGATGCTTATGGAGTTTCTTCCTCCTTACACTCCACTCCTAAATCCAATTGAGGAGTTTTTCTCTTCCTGGAGGTGGAAGGTATATGACAGGCATCCACATACCCAAATGACCCTGCTAGCAGCTATGGATGCAGCTTGTGATGACATCACTGCAGAGTCCTGCAGAGGGTGGATTCGACACTCCAGAAGATACTTTCCCCGATGCATCGATAGAGCTGACATTCCCTGTGATGTTGATGAAAATATGTGGGCAGACAGACGTGAGCGTCTAGATATCAATGACTGATATGCAGCAGTGTCTGTTCAGTTGTTTTTTGTTTCATCACTACTGCAGTAAGGTTTATGTTTATGTTTGCTGTAAAATGTTTGTTTTACTAAATTTCCCCAGTTGCACAATGCTGTGAACAGTTTCAGTTAAATATTATCAAGAGTGCACATGAAGTGTCTTGATTTTCCTTTACAATTTATGGTTTTCAACATGCCATGCATGCTGTCCACACTTGACATGTCATTGGGAAGCACCTACAAAGAAATCCGTCACAATGAGAACATGTTCCATTTTGTGGCCAAAGGTGCTGGTGGAATGACTTGTAATTGTGACAGCCCTGACACTTTGATTGATATAAGTACTTGCTTTTGATGAATATATTATCTGTTTTGATTAAGGGACTTGCTTTTGAAGCATTGACTACTTGTTTTGAGCAACTGACTTGCTTTTGAACAACTGACTTTTCTTTTTGATGAGGTGACTCACTTTTGCAAGTTATCCACCGTGTTTTGCAGTTTGCACTAATTGTTTTGAGAGGAGCCTTAGTAGTGGTGCAGAGATCAATTCTGTTGTGAGAAATGCACCAAAGCAACTGAGAAAAACTGTAATACTCTACCCTTATTGGCTAAAACTTAAAAAGTTTAGTACCAGCTTTGGCCACTGGGGGGCAGCAATTCTCCTTCTTCCCTTCTGTTGGAAACGGAAATTAGAGTGTTTTTCTATTTTTTATCAGGTGAGGGCGCAGATTCTCCTTTCTTTCAATTAAAAAATTCATAAAGCAAGTGGTTTTACTAAGAAAGTCTTATAAAATTATTTTTAGACAAAGAGGAAAGACGAACTGCAATTATCGTCTGTTACTGGTTACTTAAAAATAACCACTAGCAGTGAAAAATAAATAGATATTTAAATGAATAAATTAATTTCAAACTTAACGGAAACTGGGATTACATTTAGGCTTAAGGCTTTTATACGTCAGCACACCCAAAAGCTGTCTAGAAACACCTAGAAGGGATAACATCCTCCTCTAAGTTACTTAGCGCATTACTGCTTCCCTTTGATAACGTTACCATTTAACTATTAAGTGTCTGGTAACGCGCTACAACAAGGGTCCCTTTAATACTGTTAGGCTGCAAGGTGAACAGAGAAAATGTGTTTAGAAATTGAATCTCGTTTTGACCTCTTGAGACTACTTGCTCTTTGCTTCATAAAAATAGTACGCTCGTACAGGTTTCAAAAGTAAAAGTTCTCCTGGGAGTTGCCCTGTTTATTACGATTGTTGCTTTCATTCGCGACTCATTCGAGCACTAAACCAGGGGAAGAATTGTTATCTGATAAAAACAATTATATCCCTGATAGATAAACAACTTGTGGATTCAGATGCACATTGGGTGGTCCCATTGAGAAGAGCTTGAGGAAAAAAGGTTAGGTGTAACGTTTTTGGATCAACGATGGAAAGCTGCAGTGTCCGTTGTAGTGCATCGTGTGCTGGATTACAACTTATCCAGTCTAAGGTTCTATAGAGCTCACTATTCAAAATCTCGCCTGTTTAGAGAGGTGTCAAGCCCTGTCATGTGACCAGAGTCACATGTTTTATTCATGTCTGGAATTCCATGGCTTCTGAAGTCAGTTTTCCGTAGTCCTTTCTGGGGCTCTCGGGACCCGGGTTTGCATGAACCCCTTCCTAGCTCGTTTTGGGCTCCTGGTTGAGATCCCACTGGTTCTAAAATATTGGTCTTTGCATAGCTTTTGGCCAGGCGCTGTATATTGCTCCAGTGGAAATCTCCTTAGTCTCCTTCCATTTCCTTTTGGTTTTGGGCTGTTGTGTCATTTCTTAAGTTGGTAAAGATAGGCCTCACAGCAAGGGGGCCTCTGAGAAGTTTGTTTGCATGTGGAGCACCTTTGTAAATTATTGCAGTGCCAATTTAATAAGACCCCCTCTTTGTTTTAAAGAGTAGTGTTTTTGTTGTGGGAGAAAAAAGATGCTTATGTGAGAGAAACAGATTGTATAGTCAGGTGTGTTTTCATGTGTTATTTCCAAGCCCCCACAATGCGGCTCAAAAATTGAGTCCATCCCGGAAGTACCAAAAATTGCAGTTCCACCCTCATCCGCTGGGGGCTGGTGTCAGAAGCGAGCAAATCCTCATTGACTCCCATGTTAAAAATACCAATTTCACAGCAGAAATAAACATGTTTACAGCCTGGTACCAAAACATGTTTTTGGTTTAAATGATCTAGTTTACACTCATGACAACTCTGAGTGGGGTGAATTTTTTTCTCACTCTTCTGTTTAAGTGTATTAAAAGCCTAAAATTCTGTATAATTAATGAGCATCAGACCCACGTGACCACAGAGCTAGCTCCGTGGAAAGGCCTCAGTAGAGCCTCGGTCTGGCCTGAAAACTGCTCTGGGATTTTGAGTCTCTGTGTTTGTGTTTTCTTTTTTGGATATTTTTTGTGCAATTGTTGGACAAAATGACTTGCTGTGGCATTAATTGCACTAACAGAGCGTCCAAGGAGTCTCCACTTCATTTTTTTCGGTAAGTAAAACTATATTTATGTATTTTAGGTCACTGCCGAGCTGAGCTTAGATTTTAACATGTACTGTTTAACCATGAAATTTAAATGTAATAGGGTAAAACCCAGTGCATTTAACATAATGCTGCACTTAAGAAAATGGGTTGAAATATAACATGTTGGTGGAGCTGGGTTCCGACTATCGGCTTGTGGAGCTCTCGGGAGACCGATGTTTTCCACCGTTCTCCCCTCCCCGCAGCTCGGCGCATCTCTGTCTGATCGCGGCTTCTGTCTGCTGCGCGGGCTGCCGCCGGCTTGTGGAGCTCTGGGATGGAAACCTTTCCACCCCCCAGCGGCAGCTCTGCGCATCTCAGATCACAGTGGTGCTTGTCTGCTGTGCGGCTGCCGGCTTGTGGAGGTCTCGGGAGACCTCTGTGTTCCACCCGGTTTTTCTCAGCGGTCAGCCCGGCGTATCTCTGACTCAGAAGCTCTGGTGTTGTGCACAGTTAACTCCGGTTTTAGCTAGGTTGCTACCTCCGTTAGCTTAGCCCCCACCTCCGCATTAGCTTCAGGTTAGCTTGTAGCTAGTTGATCCCAGCCTTACAGCCCAACCCTCAGCTCCACCTCTCTTCCCTTTTGTGGAATTGTCTGGGCTTGATGGAACCTGTGACACGGTCAAAATGGCGGTGGTGGCCACCTCCCATTTCTCCTCAAAAACGTGATATTGGAGCCTATTGAAATGAATTGTCCAAATCCAACTCCCAACTCGCCACAAGGCGTGGCCGAGACTCTCGATGCTTTATAACTTTGACACAGAGCTGCTACGTAGTACTCTACTGGGTTACGTAGTATCTTACTCTTTAGCCATTGGCTAAAATTTATTCAAAATGAGTCAAATTCTATGTTTTAAGCTGAAGGTGGAGCTATACTGTGGTATTTAGGCAGAATTTTTAATTTTTAAAGAAAATGCACCAAAATGCTAAAATAATGAATACACACATTTAAAACACTATTAGACACTCATTTATACAGTTCATCAGCAAAAAAAAGTTAATTTAGACGTTACTTGCTCTTTAAGTCCTATCCGTGTTAGCCCTCTCTCAGATACAGAGTTGGTGTGATCTGTAACTAATGTCAACTTTGCATGTGTTTCTAAGGAAGAACTGGTCTCTAAACAGTTTGCACCACAGGGTAACAAACAACCTTAAATGGGTTTATAATATAATCATATTATAGATTATTACAACACATTGTCAACGGGATGCTATACACATCTCAGTTATTCTGAAGTCTGTTTTTGCTTGATAAATAGAAAAATTAAGCCAAGTTCAGGGTAGGCGCATGTAAGTTTGCAAGTAAATACATTTTAATTATCCTTTCTTCAACCTTCTAATTATAGAGCTTTTGAATTTTTTAATGATTTAGATTATAAAGGAAGAAGAAGAACAAATGATTATTTATATAGCGCCTCTTAACATAAAAATCACAAGGCGCTTCACAAGGACAAAAACTTTAAACAGAAAAATGATTTTTAAAATATCATAAAAAGGGTGTCAGATTTAATGTGGTCCTGCATTGCATTGTTTTTTTATTGTGTCTACATAATATCTGATTGCTGTAGAATACAAAAGGGATGCATAATAAAGAAGATGATGGGGAAATGACTTTATGTATGGTGTTGGAAAACAGACACTGCAGTGAAACATCAGATAGTTCTGCTTTTTGAGTCTGACTGTATGTGGTGGCAAGTCTGTTCATAAATAATACAAACCAGAGAGAGAGAGAGAGAGAGAGAGAGAGAGAGAGAGAGAGAGAGAGAGAGAGAGAGAGAGAGAGAGAGAGAGAGAGAGAAACTTTTAGAATGAAAAATATTTTTAAATTGTTAAATACTATACAACAGAAGCACTAACATATGGTGGTTTTGTATTTGATCTATATGTGAATAAAGTTTAGTGAATCAATTATTTGTAATTATTTCAATAAAAAAATTTACTTAAAATATTTTATAGTAAAAAGGTCAACGTTTTTAGTTCCTAATGCTCATTTGTCTGCCGATGTCATCTCCAGGGAAACATGTGGGGCAGTCACGCTCTGATTGGTTGCCTCGCTGACATGCCCTGACGTTATTTACCACACCTGGCTGGAGGTAGATTCCTACCTGTTTGGTTGGTTGTTGCTCTTAGCGCAGTCGGGTTTCGGGAAGAGAGTGGAGCGACTTGGTGTCTGACATCAGAGAACTTCTGCGGGTGTGAGTCTACAAACGACTTCCTCTCTCCTCTGTGATCCCAGGTAACTTTATTCTAGTAAAGTCTGCAGTGCTTGTTTCATTTTTGCTGCTGGATGGGTGAATCTATCAGCTTAAAATCTTAAAAAAGAAATTGTTCTTCAACAGTAAAAACAAATCTTGTGGAAGCTTTTTGCAGAACCTTTTGATTTAAAAAAATGTTAAGCAGAAGTTTCTTGATTACTTTATGTTTCGTTGCCTATTTTGTATTTTAGTTTGCACCGACTCAATAAATGTGCAAATATCAACACAATCAGTTCCAAAAAAATCAGGAAGAACAAGCTGTTGATTAATGAAACTTTTTTCACTTTTTGAATATAGTTAACCAGTAATCCACTGCATGGATTTTTCTGCCGTAGAACACATTCCTGGCATGCTTTTGACTCTTTAACCTACTGATCTCGTATCTCACCTGGATCTAATCTCGGCCCTGGTTGGGAAACTGCTGCCGTGCGGTTCAGACCCATCCAGGCTGAACCTAAAGAGTTGTCTCACAGCCAGCAGAAGCAAGTAAAGTGACATTCCTGTTGCCATTTGCCCTGATTCAGCTCTGGGCCCAGTTCATTCTACAACTGCTGCCCTGCAGGTTTCTTGTCTTGTTCAAGTTTGAGAGTTGTTGGCTTGGATGTTCTTCACTGCTCTGATTGTCCTGATGGGAGGAACAGTAATTAGAGGCTATAACAGCTCTCACGAGGGAGGCCACTGCGTATTTTGACAACCAGCTTTTTGTTTACAGGAAACGTGTGTGAATGTGGGTGTTGATGATCAGGTTTGTCACCATCCACCTCTGCTGAATCTTACAAGCTCTGATTGTCATTGTTCTTGTCCAGTGTCCTTGATATATATGAACGTGTGAACCACGCTGTTAATTTGACATTCATGTTTTCCTTTCTGATGAGACAAGCTGCCAGCATTCAGGATCTCAGAGCTACATTCATCTCCACTTGTTTAAAAAAAAACGTTCAGCGACTCTAAACAATAATGAGAAATGATTCTGTTCAAGATGGCGTGAGAAACCGTAACCCTACTCTGGAATGCATCCTGATCTAAGCCCAGAAACAGAAACCAGCCTTTATTTTCCTCAGAAAGCTAAGCTCAGCTCAAGAGCCTGTCACTCTTTTTCATAATGAGACAAAAACACCTAAAGTACAGCTGGACTTCTTCTAATTACATGGACGTAACAATATAACCACCTGCAGTAGGATTTATCTGGAATCCTTGTGAAACTGTACAGTGTGGTCAAACATCCTGAGTTCAAAGTTTATCTGGAACATCTTGAGATTCAAACCACAGCTTAATCTCCCCTGTAGCCCAGAGCTTAGGAATTAGTTGGAACTCTTAAACAATCAAGTATTGCTTTTGAACAATTATTACTCCAAAACGTATATTACAAATTCATCTCAAATAATATATTAAAAAAATATTTTATAATACAAAAGGTCAATTTTCCTTTTCATGTAGAGAAAATCGATTTATCTGCTGGACTAAAGTGTGTCTCTATAGTTTCCTGAACAGCCTCTGTTCAGAGAAATACAGTTTAATGTCCTACAGGATTGATAAGCTAACCACTAGTCTCAGTGCAGCCATGAGCAAAGTTTGTCTCATAAAGTCAGATTCACCTGATGCTGTTGTTTAAATGGAATTTCATCATTATTTAAAGGGACTTTACAGAGTTTTGAATTTTTATGCTCGCGATTGCCCCCTCAGGCCAAAAGCGTAACGGCAGCTTCAATAGTAGGCTCGTGCACGAGGCGCGCATGCTGTATGTGCACACTCCTTAACGAAAATAACAGCTGAGACAGTCCCTTGTGTGTGTGTGTGTGTGTGTGAGTGTGTGTGTGTGTGTGTGTGTGTGTGTGTGTGTGGCCCAGAGGACAGAGAACAGGAGAACGTGCAGCTAATTAATTGAATAATTTGGTTCTGTACCTTTCTCTTCAGCACAGCCGACAAAGGTTTAAGATGGGTCAGTCCTCCTGCATGCTCAGATCATTCCCTTCTCTTGCTTGAAAAATTGTTCCAAAATGAAAGTTGAACCCACATCTTTTTTTATCTGTGAATTCAATGCCGTTCGGCGAGTCTCCAATAAAAATTTGGGCATCTTACTGTAAAAAATATACCATTAATGTAAAAAGACACTCTAAATAGACTATGTTCACATCCAGAATCAAACCCGGATCTTCTGCACGAAAGTCCAACATCTTACTAGGTGAGCTAAAGCACCAACAATGTCCTTTGTATCAGTAACATTTACAGTATATCCTTGATGATAACTGAAACAACGTTCAAAGAATGGTTCGGAGGGCTATGCCTGAGCGTGAAAGCGCATGAAGCAGCCTGCTCCACCCAAGCAGCTCTCTTTTTCTGTGATTTCACAGAAAAAGAGGCAATCACAGTAAAAATGCCAGGGCTCATTCTACAGGACCAGGGCATTGCAGGAGAATGTATGAAGAAGAAATTTATTATTTCTATACATGTTTTGGCTGTTAAACTTCCATAATACCCCTTTAATCAGCAGCTACTTGATGCAGTTCGAGTGCCTCCAAGGGCCACCTCTGTTAGAATGTGATGCAACATTGATGGCAGTGTAGAGATTAAGGTAATGCAAAAAGAAAAAGGCACAGCTGCACACGATCTTTTTTGTTGTTCCTAGAGTTGAAAGAGAGATAGAGAAATATGCTTTTTGTTTGAAGGCCCCGTATGATTGGAATAGCCTTCCCTTATCTCTCCGGTCGATATCTTCATTTAGAATTTTTCGCAGAGGCCTAAATGATCATTTTCAGAACATTTGTCTATGTTACTACAGTTTTTTTCAGTTGCTTTGGTGCATTTCTCACAACAGAATTGATCTCTGCACCACTACTAAGGCTCCTCTCAAAACAATTAGTGCAAACTGCAAAACATGGTGGATAACTTGCAAAAGTGAGTCACATCATCAAAAAGAAAAGTCAGTTGTTCAAAAGCAAGTCAGTTGCTCAAAACAAGTAGTCAATGCTTCAAAAGCAAGTCGCAGATAATATATGCATCAAAAGCAAGTACTTATATCTATCAAAGTGTCAGGGCTGTCACAATTACAAGTCATTCCACCAGCACCTTTGGTCACAAAATCAAATGGCTTGAACAAGTTCTCATTGTGATGGATTTCTTTGTAGGTGCTTCCCAATGACATGTCAAGTGTGGACAGCATGCATGGCATGTTGAAAAACATAAATTGTAAAGGAAAATCAAGACACTTCATATGCACTCTTGATAATTTTTAATTGAAACTGTTCACAGCATTGTGCAACTGGGGAAATACAAACAAACATTTTACAGCAAACATAAACATAAATATAAACCTTACTGCAGTAGTGATGAAACAAAAAAACAACTGAACAGACACTGCTGCATATCAGACATTGATATCTAGACGCTCCCGTCTGTCTGCCCACATATTTTCATCAGCATCACAGCGAATGTCAGCTCTATCGATGCATCGGGGAAAGTATCTTCTGGAGTGTCGAATCCACCCTCTGCTGGACTCTGCAGTGATGTCATCACAAGCTGCATCCATAGCTGCTAGCAGGGCCATTTGGGTATGTGGATGCCTGTCATATACCTTCCACCTCCAGGAAGAGAAAAACTCCTCAATTGGATTTAGGAGTGGAGTGTAAAGGAGGAAGAAACTCCATAAGCATCCTGTCGTGTGCTGCAAACCGCTACCTGACTACAGCAGAGGGATGGAAGCTAACATTATCCCAAACCACTACATACATTGTCCGATTGTCACCAGGACACACACCAATTTTCATTAGTGTGAGATAAGGTTCACCTGAGAAAAGTCATTTATGGAGATTTCCATGGAAACTCCTTAAAAATAGGGTTTTCAAAATGGGTGTACAAGTTGTTTGACAAGATGTTCAACAGTTTTGAGTGCAATGACACGAGCAATGAAATGAAGACCATTAGTTGTAAGGACAATGACTATTCAGCCGGTACAAGTATAAATAATTGTGACATTCATGATAAAAGCAAGGAGATAGTGATGAATAGCAAGTCAAAAGTGACCATTCTTTAGACATTTGTACTTACTCAACTGCTTCATGTCCAAAGGCATTTGCCTTGGACGAAACGAACATGAAACCGCCACTAGGTTGTGCCAAAACGACTACATATTGTGGAGGTTGAACTAACTGTTGTGCAAAGTTTAATTCTGTTGCGAGAAATGCACCAAAGCAACTGAGAAAAACCGTAGTTATGTTTCCCTGACTTCTGCTCTCACTGGTCATGTATGTATTCATTATATGAATATGTATGTGTTCTTTAGTTCAGACCTGTGGTTGTCTTGACTTCTTGTCTGCAGTGGGGTTTGTGCTTGGGGGGTGAGTTTGTGCATTGTGAGCCATTGTGTGTGCGTGTGTGTGTGTTGTAACCATTGACTATTTATACCGAGGTTGTCTGTGTCTGTGATCTCCGATCTGCTGTTTTGTACATTCTTGATTTGAAATAGTGGATGACCCCCTTGAAAACGAGATGTTTCATGTCAAGGGGTTAATCCTCCTTATGAAGATCTGTTAATAAAATAAATACATCTGGGAGTATCCTCAAACCAATTCTGAAACAATAACTGAGTGTGATCAGATCCAGATGTTTGTTTTTGTTTCTGACATGGTGTAGAACATGTAGGGCAAACGTTAGCTTTTTACCATATTTCCTTTTAGACAGGAAGACTTCTGAATGACTTTGGACAAGATTTACCTTGGATTATGTTTAAAAATGTAACTTTGTTTTGTTCAGAAATTGTTTAAACATTTTTATGGAAGTGTAAAATGATGAAATGTGCTTAAATCAAAGCTGTGCTACATTTATTCCAACTATTTAAATCCGATCCATCATAACCTGTATGGTCTCAGTAACAAATTCATACAGGTGGTCATTATGAACTGTTTTGTTTTTCTTTTTTATCCCAAACATTCGCTGGAGAACATCGATGTGTAATTATTACTGTCTGACACAAATGTAAACTAATACAGCTGTAATATCACTTTGAGGACTCTGTTAGCTCACGTTGATGCATTTGATGACATCACAGCGACTGTGTTCAGAGACAGGTCATGTCATTTGTCACTTTAATGATATGAAGCTCTTTGTTTTCTCATTTTAACCTCAGACTCAGGCTTAAACTCGCATTAGGTCTCATCAACATCTCAGATGTCATCTTCCTGTCACGTTTCGAGGATGTTTAGGACCCAAATATGCAGATACCCAGGAGGACACGAGGCAGGAGTAGATATAAAGAAAAAATCCTTTTATTTTAGGATGAACAAAAATAAATCCAAAGGCAGCGAGCCTAAAGTCCAAAACTCCAAAGCAGGAGAAAAAAAGCTCACCAAGAGCACGAACAAACGCTGACAGAACATACAAACAATGGACCAACAGGACACTGAGACAAGACAGGGCTTAAATACACAGGGAGGATGAGAGGGAGATGAGCTGCAGGTGTGTGGGGTGTGGGAGGAGGACCAGGTGAAGGCAGTGACTAATCAGGGAGGAGGAAGAAAACACTGGTGGGAAAAACACACTAAATACTGAAAGGCTGTAACAAAGGAAAATGACCTAAGAGAAAAACAAAAGACCAGAAAGCATGAACCATGACTAATATACTAAGGGGAAGCTGACACTAAAGGAAAACACTGTAGAAAGAAACAACAGGGGCGTGGCTAAGAGGGGGCCAAGAGAGCACAGGACCTGGGAAAGGGATGTCTGAGGGGGGAAACCTAAAGGGCAAATGGGGAACACCAGGAGACACATGAGGAAGATGCAGACATGACACATGAGGGTGCTAGAAGACACAAAAGGAGCACCTAGAGAAGATGGAGAAACACCAGGAGGCACATGTAGGAAAGGGCAGACGCAGACCATGACACTTCCTCTAATATGATGATGTGTACAACATCTTAGTACATCAACTGGTTCAAAACCCTTTCATACAATGTCATGAAATATTTCTTGTGTCTGTTTCCAGATGTTATAAATACATTTAAGGCCTTTGTTCCTTTCTCTACCTGATGCATGTGTTTGACCATCTTCTTGACCTTTCAGACTCCCACCAGACTGGGTGCAGGTGACGTTTGAACAAACAGAGTAGGACAGGGACGCGCGTGTCCTCCTCACACCCTCTTCCTTGTGCCATGTCAAGGGGTGGCACCTGGCCAGGCATTGTTGCCGTGGAACCCTTGAGCAAGATGGACAGCGCGGGGAGCTGCGACAGCGCGATCAGCATAAACTCTGGCTTTGTGAGTTGTGCAGGAGACGTCCTTGTGTCAGTCACCTGTTTGCTTTGTAACTTTGGCCTTTCTGACTGAACGGAGCTGTAAGGACTGTGGCTGTAAGATATAAGAAAAGGCTGATAATGAGGAAGTGAAATTATGTGAAATACTCTTAACCCTCTGGAGGCAGGCATTGCATATTTGCATCAGTTAAAACCTACCTGGTTGCTCCACATATGTGTTTCATGAGCATTTTTAACTCAGAAGTACCCCTGAAGGACTTGATTGTTTGTCCTTTTATCAAAACTTATTTTGAGCCAGAGAGGGTTAAACAAACAGAGAAGGAACCTTTCAAGCTTTTGAGCAGCAGTTTGAGAGAAATCCCAGATCTAAAATAAATACATGTTTTCGTGTATTTGTGTGAATTCAACATTGTGTCCTATTGTCTGCAGAGTGACGACAGCATGGAGTACCTTTCTCCGGAGGAACGAGCGTGTCTGATGTTTCTAGAGGAAACTATTGAAGCCCTGGAGGTGCAGGTCAGCGGCTTGTCCAACGACCAGCTAGATTCTGCACCAAAGGAGGAGCAGATGACAGTAAATGGTATGCTTTCATAAATATCCAGCTTGACTGATTATTTTTTCCACCTATGCATTGTTTCAAATGTCATTAATGGTGTTTTATTGTTTTGTATTTAGACGTTTCCAGTTTGGTGCCAGCATCCAGAAATCGTGGAAAGTCCCCACCTCTCACCCACATATCTGCAGATCCTGCTCCTACATTAACAGCTCAGAGTAAAACTGATCTTCATGCTCTGAATCAAAACTCTGAACCAAAATCCACTCCAGCTTCAGCAGCCAACATGACAGACACTGAAACGGGGGAGGCTCAAACTAGCCCTCCTTTTCCTGATTCAGCTGCTGGTGCAGCTGCTGTCATAAACCCCACTGATGTGGCGAGTTTAACCCTGAATGGAGATCATGATCCCAAGATGGTCACAAGCCCAGGAGGGTCCTCGGAGATGGATCTGAGCATTATCCCTCCCCCCTCGGATTTTATGGATGAAATGGACTCGACTTTACAGCCTGAGCAGACACATTCCATCCCCCCACCTGTAGATGTCTTAACAAAACCAGAAGTGGATGTTGAAAATGAACTGTTACAATGGACAGACTCTATAAAGATAACCTCACTGAGCTCGTCTGTGACCGAGGATCCTCCGAGCAGTCCTCCACCAGATCCTTTTTCTTCTGAGCTGTCTGAGCCCAAAAGTCCACCCATTGTGGCCCCAAAGCCAAAAAGACTTCCTGCTAACATTTTTGTGAAGTCACAGAAGACAGCAGCAGTTGGCTCTGGTGGGAGCTCACGGCATGCCGTGTCCACCAGCAGCGACCGGATCTTGATGGACCATCAGAAGATCCGAATGGAGGCACTCCAAAAGCTTGGACTGCTTGGAAGCCAGGAGGAACCAATGGGCCTTGCAAAAAGTTCTAAACTACAATCTAAAACCAGACAGTCGTGGGCAGGACCCTCTCCTCTAATCAGCACACCAACTCCTCTTTCACCACCCATGACTCCATCATACAGCCATGTTAGCATCCCTCCTCCTGCCTCTAACCCCCTCCAGTCTCCTCCTACTGTCCTAACACCAGGTCCTTCCACCCTGGACCCTGACATCCTCCCTGCACCTGCAGCTTTCAGTGATGACATCAATCCCCTGACTTCAAGTCACCATCTACCTGCTGTTGAAGGTGTTCTAGATGGTGCTGTGGATGCTCCTCCTCTCACATCGCCTCTCACTCCTCCTGAGCTAGTCAAGCAGCTTACCCCACCAAAGGTCATGGACATGACATCAGCTACCTTGGAGTGCTTTGGAGTGGGTCAAAGCAGTTACACCGCCAGCCAAAAGTCCCCTGGGGCTGATCAGAGTGCCAATGAGGAGCAGGACCCCAAGCAGCTGCGCAGCAGTCGACCACGGCTTGCCTCCTTGGAGAGCGGGAAAGAGTTTTCACATGCTAAAGGAGAGGATACCAGTGGCAAACAGCCAGACTCTCACAGGCCTTCAGATGCCCACAGTGCTTCTCAGCACTCCAGGGAGCCTGCCAAGCTGCCTCGATCACAAGGGATTAGTGTACTGATCTGTCCTCAAGCAGAAAACGAGGAGGACCGACGCGTGGCCTTAAAGAAGCTGGGACTGCTCAGGAACTGAGACGTTCATGTGACCTCTATGCACTAGAAAGGGACACAACAGAGATTTCTACAGGTTGCTGAAGACTTAAAGCATCACATGGCAGGAACTGTCATGGACACACATCCGTATTTGTGTTTTATTATGTCTAAAACTGGAAGTGAATGCCTTATTTAAACTTCAAACACTCACTTCATCTGTGATAAATTAAATCCACTTACTTTAAGTCACCGATGACTCATGTTGTCATTTCAGCTATGACACTTTTCCATTTGACCAGCTTTTATTCTGTTTCAAGGACTTGATAACTTCTCTCCCTTCTGGTGCTGTTAGGTCTCGCCACACATGCTGAAGGAACGGTTTTCTGTATTTATTATAAACTTCTCAGCTTAAATGTACAAATGTATATGTTTCTTTGATGACACAGCTTTCTGTAAGTTGAAAAAAGTCACAAGCTGATTAAAATCTGAAACACTGCATGACTGTGTGTTGACACCCGCAGACTGAACAACAGATTTTTAGCTACGATAACAACCTCGCTGTCAGCAAGCGTCTGAGCGTCACAATGCTACATTCGTTGGAGGTTTCTTTACCTGCATTAAATTTTTTTTTATGCCACTGTGAGGGAACTGGTGCTACCTGTTTTCTCAGTCGTCTTCTGCTCAGGAGGTCTGAGGAACTTATTTTTATCTCGGGTGCAGACAATTTGTTTTCTTTTTCCTCTAATTTGTTTTTCAGGTCACGTCTTGAGCTCCATTTGACAAACAAATCTCCCTGTATGAGTACAAGTGAAGAGTTAAAGTAGAGCTCCGCAGAAGGATTGGACACACTCCTTTGAGTTTATGCACCTGAGCATCTCTTTCTTAACAAATGTGTGAAAAAGCTTGAAGCCAGCAGCAGTTTGTGACTCATATTTGAAGCTTTGTTTAAATGTTGCCATACGACGTTTGTTTGAACGTGCTGCCTGGTGCCACTCGGCTTTACGGCGTCCACTTTGCATCCTCTGATCAGCGCTACTTTTGTGGCATGAATTTTAATTTAGTCCCTTATTTGCATAATTTTTACACAGAACATTTTCATGTCTTCCTACGTGTCACTTTTTATAGATTTCTTCAATGGAGTTAAACATCTGACTGGTATCTGTGAGGGAGAAATGACTGGTGCCAAGTGAAAATAATAATAATTTGAATAATGTTTTGAATATGTCCCATAAAAGATACGGCATGGGGCAGAACTTGCTGATAAGATGAAATAGACACCACTCTTTTTGTATTCTAGAGACCAAATAGGACGGGTTTTGTTTGTTTTTTAAAAGAAATCTCTTCATAGCAAAGAGGAAGTGACTGTGTCGGTAAGCTAGAGCTGGTTTTGTGCTGCACTGTGGCATGTTGTTAAGTGAGCTGACAGTGCCAATCACTTTCAGCTAGGAGAGGGAATTTACCGCTTTAATCACAAATAATAAATTAGAAAAAAAAACACATTAAAAATGTACCCCATTGAACAAAAGCATTCCCCAATTGGGGGTTATATATTATTAAATATCATTAAGCTGCATATCTAACAAGACTGCAAAGCCTTATTTACGTGCTCCAAAAACAGATAAAACTACAATTAAATTAATCATGACAAGTTTCTTTTCATGATGAAAAGAAAGGAATAACCAAAAAAAAAAAAAAAACAACTTTTTTACCGTTATGTTTTGTGGTTTGTTGAAAGCAGGCCGGCAGTAACTTTATGAACTTTATTGCAGCAGAAGGAACAAGCATACATGCAACATTAATCATGTAACCCTCAGCAGAAGTTCCCCTGAACTCTACACTGCACCTCTATATATGTTAGCAGTGCTCTGCTGCCACCTAGTGTTCGGTTCAGTACGCAGCATTTACAATGTTTCATGTTTATTTACACTTCATCAATAACACATTTACCAATATTTACACATCCCAACCAATTCCACAATGTTTGCCTTTATAATGAGACTAAAGTAATCAAGCAGACCTTGAGCTACAGATATATAGTCATTAAACTGTGGGTAAAGCCCACTGAAAACATCAGCGGCATTGAATGGCAGCAGCACATCACTGCTTCAATTAGAATCCATTAGAGTCTATGGAGGTGATTCAAACCAGCTGCGACGCAGCAATTTTCAGGTGCGTCCCAAAAGCAGCACGCTGTGGCGCTAAAGATGGGGTCGGGTTCTATTTCTGCAGTGAGCTGCTTCTGGGACGTGACAATTTCTGTAGTTAACATAGGGCTAGACAGGAAATTACACACGGCTTCAGTGAAAAATCCCTGGTAACTTTCAAAATAAAAGTCTTTTGCAGCAATGCAATTTCAAATCTAAATAGATTACATCAAATGCAAGTGACCCATTGGCTTATTTACTCCCAGCATAGTTCCAGAAGAGCAGCTGTGTGTTTTTTCATGGCTTTAATCCTGGCAGTGGAGGGGAACATCATATGTGACCTCAAACAATCATATGAAATGTGATTTCCTTCTTTTAATGGCGAACAGCATAAATTCACTACAAGTCGATCAAGGAGCACAGCTGAGAAGCTGCTTCGCTGCTGAGACTCTCCAGGTGTGCTCTGGAGTGCTGCAATTGTCGCGAGTACACCGTTCTGCGCTGCTGAAGCTTCCAGTGTGCAGCAGGGGTAAATCATCTGTGTCTCACCAAAATTATTTTTTATTTAAAAAATTGCCTGGGTGCAAATTGTCTTGAACAATTGAATTGTGATTAATCAAGATTAATTCATTACAAAGTCTCTGATTAATTAGATTGTTTTGTTATCAAGTCCCACCCCCACTTTCAGCATTTCCTTCATGGGCCTCGTAGATCAGGTGTCATGGATAACAATCTGTCCCATTCTGCATAAAGCTGGGCAGGATTAACAAGTCACAATCACATAATCTAACTTCAAAACAAAAAGGAAATGGAACATTTCAGCAGATGGCAAGTCTCTGTCATGTTAAAGACGCTCATATGTGGTCCCAATTTAAGAGTGCAGATGATTACTAGACTAATAAGTCACATTGTCCTATCCTTTATTACATTTTACAATATTCAGGTGAGAGGAAAAATAACCATGACATTTTTTTTAGTTCTGTTTTATAATTACAGTGTAATTACAGTGGTTAAAGCATGCAAACCTGAGCCACTTTGCTAACAAGGCTACCAAGTGACATATTGACGTGTTTTGTATTAAAACGTGTATCCTTTACCATTTAATACAAACAATGTGGTAAACAAGAACAAATCACGTTTTAGACTTAATGCACTTTATGTCCACTAGAGGGCAGCATAGGTTAATCAGGAGTAAATCTATTTTCTGCTAGGAAAGATTATTATTTATATACCAGTTTTAACTTAAGTAATATGCTTGATCTGCTCTTGAGATTTTTCTATTTTAACTTTAGTTTAATTAAAAGGCTAAATTTCATGTGTCCTTTTGTTTATTGTGTCTAATGGGTTAAAATTACACTGAAACCACAGGGGAAACTAATAAATATAACACGTCTGCCTCTGTTAAATGCCACATCTAGTGTGAATGTAAGGATAGAGCTGAGTGGCTGTTACCACTAGTGAATTCATAATAGACCCAACATATGTTATTTTCTTGATCAGCTTGTATAGAGTGCTCTCCTCAAACCTGACTGTGTGTGACGCTAGCTCAGGAGAGCTATCATTAACACCAGTGAGGATCCGACTGCACGGCCTTATTTCATATTCACTAATGCATAAAGAAAAATATTCTTTAAAAAGGCAATTTTTTTATATATCTTTATTTCATTCAATAAAAAATAACACAACAGATACTAAACAATATTCATGAAAACACAATATATATTTGAATGAAAGGGAGCAGATAGAAGAAAAATCTTATTATTTCTGCCCCCTTTTTAAACTTAAATATCAATTTATATTTGTGCAGTCCCTCCCCAGTTCTTTCAGTCCCGTAACTGTTCACATTTGTTAATTATTATGTCCACATCAATTGTCCGTTGTCATATCCACTCAACACACGTGATTTAATGTGTAGACTGAACACTTTTAGAGTTCTTGACTCTTTCCATTCTCTGTCCAGGCAATTCCACAACTTCACACCACTCACAGATATGCTCATTTCCTTCATTCTTGTTCTAAATCTAGGTTTTTTGAAGATTTCAAATCCCTTCAACGAATAACTGCTATCTCTCTTTTCAAATATATGCTGAATATTCTTTGGCAATGTACCTTTATTTGCTTTATACATTATATGCAATATTCTCCAGTTGACCAAATCATGAAATTTAATTACTTATATTTTATAAATAATGGGTTAGATGGAGCTGTACTATGAGTGTTGTCTATAATTCTCATTGCTCTTTTCTGCAAAACAAACAAATGTTGTGTATACGTTCTATATGCAGTTCCCCAGATTTCTACACAATAATTTAAGTATGGCAGAATCAGTGCATTGTATAGTAATAACAATCCTTCACTATTTAGTAGAAACTTTACGCTATATAATACTGCAATGGCTTTGGCCACTTTACCTTTTATATAGCCTATATGTGATTTCCAGCTTAGAGCTTCATCAATCATTACTCCCAAAAATTTGATTTCTTTTACCCTTTGAATTTCCATGTTATCTATTTTTAATATGACGTCTATATTTTCTTTGTCATTAAATAGAATGAAATTAGTTTTTTTAAGATTAAGTGTTTATTTATATCAAACCAGTTTTTAACTTTTATCAGTTCAGTATTTATCACATTAGTTGTTCATTCAACTGCAGGACAAAGTCTTATAAAGTTTTAAATATTGGAATTTTGTCTTTTGCAATCATAATTGCTTTTATTTAAACAATATTAGTTTTTCACTGCAAACCCATAAAGTGTTTTATTCATTTGTTTTTGGGGGAGAGCGATGCGCTTTTACAGAAAGAGACTGGGAAAGGATTTTTAGGTTATGAGGTCTGCCTCGACACGGGCTGGTATGTCCTGAGCTTCGGTTTTTATCTCTCCAAACAGAATTCTTTGTTCCTTCAAGAGGAAATGATTCAGGTCTGATCATTACCAAAGAATGCAAGAACTGATTGTGGGCAAATAGCTGGAAGATTTTACTCACCTGAGTGTCACAGTGACCTGTGACCTTTACCGTCATGTGTGCTGGATATCTTTGGTTTAAAAAAAGTTTGGTGGCTTGTTTAAGGCAATAATAGTTATAAATCAGATAATAATTAGTATTTTTTTTTTCAGATGAGCTGCTCCTCAGATATTCTCCCTGTTGTCTGTAGCTGGAGGGAGGTAGGTGCACTAGACGGTGAGCTCATGGGACTTCCCCACCATCCCTTCTTGTTCTGAGCTCACCTAGGCGTCTGTCTGAAGGCAGCTGCCTCGACCCTTCCTCCACATGTGAGCTGATCAGCGAGGATTAGTGGAGACAATGTGAAATGGAGCCACTGTTGAGTTTGCTCGGGTTCAAGCATGCCCAACTCAGTTCTGTGTCATCAAAAACAAAACAAAATAAAAAAAAAACAACAGGTAAAATAAAAGCCTCATACCTCTGCTCTGTTTGGGTGTGTGCCTGCGCAGCAAATTCAGGCATACTTCAACTCTTCAGCAGGATGGTGAAACTTTGAATGACAGAGGCTCAGTAAGGACTCCATTTAGGATGGTATCTACTTGATTACAGAGTTTCATACACAGGAGATCAAGCTCAAGCAAACATCTATCTCTCTACCAGTGTGTGCTTGCACGCTTGTCTGGTCAGCGAACACACCCGTCTGGATTTCCTGCTCCTGCAGCATTAAGACTCATTTAACAGGTGAAACTTTCAAATGAGCAGGAAACAAGTCTGTGAAAGCCAGAACATCACAGCACCGTGGTGATAACGTATGTTTCAAAACTCCTCAAAAAGCCTCAGCTGCTGAAGTTGGTTTTCATCTAAGATCTCAGACAAGTCAGGTTTCTGTTAGCATGCATCTGTGAGATTCCTCTGCTCCTGCTGACTTGATAACTGTGTGCACCCCCTTGCTCCCTCTTAGTGCCAGCCTGTGAGGCTGTGGTCAGGAGGCATTCCAGGGGCAAACCCACAGCACCCGTGTGATGACTGCACTAAAGTGTGAAACTCAGCAAGCCACTCTGTTCCCCTGTGGTGCTGGCATGGTGTCCTGCTGGGCCTGCGGTGGTTTTGGTAGCCTTGCATATAAGAGTGGAGGAAAAAAAGGTGAGGGAGAGAAAGGGAAAAGCTCCTTTGAAACTCTACACAAATATTTTAGAAAGGTGGTGAGAAATGTAGAAAATGATGAGGAAAATGAGTGGAGGTGATGTGTCCTTGTGGCGGACAAAAGAATATTATATTCTCTACTTCTTGCATTGATCTTATGGTTATAAGTGTTCTTGGACTTAGTATTTTAGAGTCAAAACAAAATAAAGTCATCTAACATGGATCACTTAAACTCACAGCAAATCTCAACAACATGAAAAACTTGCCTTTGACTCTGAAACTAGTCTAATCTATGCTGCCCTCTCACTGCCACCAGCTCTGCTCTCCCTCTGTTATTTACCAAATGTGCACCCAAATCCCCCTTCATGACAAGAATCATAAATTAAACATTACCTGGGCTTCCCTTGTGTGTCTGTCGTTGTAAAAATAGCTCAGCCCGGTGCACAGTGGGATGCCTGTGCACAGCCCTTTGTCTTTAATGAAGTGTTGTGTGTGAGGAGTGTGCTGATCCTCCATCCAGACTTTTGCAGACTGCAGCAGCAGCCGTGTGCTGACTTTCTCAACTCCCAGAGTGACTGTGAGCTCATTTGGTTATACAAGTGCTCGCAATTACCCAGAGACTTGCACATGGAGACATGGGATATTTCCATATCCTACATGGATGTTATTTTAATTACACCAAACCGCTTGACTTTGTGCTGCAGATTTGCATGTTTTCCTCTTCTTTTGGATGCATTATGGGTTATCTCCAAGTCTCCTAACTGTTAAGACCCCCCAGTCCGACGTGGGACCCTATAAAAACACATCAACTCTGATGTAATTTAATCTGAGTTAATTAAATGATCACAAAGCGTTGCTAAAGCACAGGTAAGGACAACATCCTGATTAGATGAAAGATGAAGACAAATAATTGTCCCTTCTATCTTTTTCTGCCTTGAGCCATTTCAGATGATGCCTCTGCTTCCCTGCATCATCAGAAGAAGGCAGGGTTGTTATCTCCAATCAGCATCATTGTGAGGCTCTAATTATACTTGATTGAGTGAAGAAGAAAATACACACAGGAGCTGGCACGTTAATCATAGAGCAATGTCTGCCCGTATGGTGAAAAGCAAACATGAATGTATTAACACAGCTGATTAATTTAGGTGATAACGCTGAAAGAGGCAGCAGGTGTGGGAAGCAGATGTAGATTCCTGAATGTTTCATGTTTTGTTGCTGCTGAAATGCAGAGCAGGTGTCAGCAAGTTTTGTTCTGTCAGAATCAGATGGATCTGCTCATCTGGGTTTGATGGTGGTTCACACAGAGGTTTTCAGGACTGGTATAGGTATGTGACTACAGAGTTCTTAATGGGCATTGATGCTGGCTCACACTGTGTCTCACAAACACATGGCTGAAGTTGAATTAAGCTGATTTCTGTCTCCAAACTGAGCTCAACAATTAAAAAAAAATCGATGTAGCAGCTGGACAGAATGTCTTGCGGGGAAGGGACAAGCACATAATATGGGCCTGCTTATGATTTTGGAACCAGATGACAGAAAATGTCTGGAACTAGGATTTTGTTTTCAACTAGCAGATGACTCTCATAAAGCTTTCACCAGTGCTTCTGCAAACAATGGCTGGTTAATAGTTATTACCGGACGAAGCGATCCATCGTGCATTGAATTTTAAACTGTTTATTTGACACAGTAACTTCAAATAAACAGGAAAAACATCAGTTTTACACAAGTTGCAGCAGTCCTGCAGCTCTAAATGAAACTTGGATAGAAAATTGCCTACTGACCACAACTGACCTTTAAATACGATGATGTGCTAGAAAATCACTTCAGGTAATGAAATGGTGCGCGCGCGCGCGTGTGTGAGAAAGAGACAGTCTCCTCAGAATTTGATGAGTTACAAGTTCTACCGATGAACTTTGACCTCTCCTTGCGCGCATGTATTGGCCCATCAGAATCTACATTTGTCTCCATCCTAGTTGCTTTTGATGTCATTAATCAGCAGAACCACAGCTTCGATTTGATGTTGCAGCTTTTTCTGGTGAATATTGTTCATCGTAATGTGATCCAATAAAACCCGAGCACCTTTAGGCTTGGTGAGTGAGCTCGGGTCATTTGTACTGGCTCGTTTAACCATTTTTCTACGTGCGGATGCTTCCTTTTACGCAGGTGCACGAGCCCGTCCTGCAACCAACGTGCACGTGGTTATCCAAACGCACCTTGAGCCAACCAGAACCTGTGTGTAAGAAAATAAAAAAGAGACGGGGAATGGTCCAATCCGGTGCCAGGGAGAGGAGAGCAAGAGCGGCAGAGGAGTCCGGAGCGCGGCGCGGACGCCTCTTCCTCTCTCCTCCCCCCTCAGCACTCAATCTCTCCCTGTTTCCCCCTCTCCCTCCGCGCTCTCGCTCTCCCTTTCTTAAATTGACATCGGATCCGGGCTCGAAACATGATAAGAGAAAAGCTTTTCTGCGCTCCGCGTTGTCGGGCTCTCCTCATCCCCGATCACCTACAACTCAAATAAGCAGCCGTTCAAAGAAAAACAAAACAAACCAGAGAAAAGGATCGCCCAGTATCCTGTCAGCGGGTGTTCAGAGGGGAGACACCAGGAGACATTTCGACCACTCACACCCTGGCTTTGCGCATAGAAAGTGCTCGTGCCGAACTCCAGTGAAAGTTAACATGTATGTGCACGCTTTGATACGCGCAAGTCTTGGATTTGTAGTTTTCTGCCTGGTCGCCTTTGTCCAGCTGTCTGCTTCAGGAAGTAAAGCCGCTCAAGGTAAATTTTCACCTCAAAATACCTTTTTATGTCTCTAATCAGGGCTGGGATGAATGAGCAGGCTCCAGCACGCTCACTGCATTCGTTCCTCCACAAATTAGACATTTGAAATGAGAAAAGGGTGTGATGTCATGAGTAGATGTGCAGTTTTACTAGAACTAAAAGCCTTCGGGTAAGGGTTTTGTTTTACAATCACTGCATTTCTTTATCGTCAGCGTAGCTTATATCCGTGCAGAAAGAGAGCAAACACAAAATCACGCAGAAGTTAAGCTTTCTTGCTGGAGAGAAGCAGCAGCAGGTCAGCAGACATGCTTCATATTTAATCCTGCAGGTGATTGTAGTGAGTCAGTGTTGTCAGGTTCCTAGGATTATGTTTGTACAAATTACATTTATAAAATATCAGTAACACATCATAATCATAAGTGGGTCTAAGAGTTTTAACTCAGTATGTCTATGAGCATTGTAATTATTCACTTTTAGTGTGTGTATGTGGGTAGGAGGGGGTCCTGGCTTGTCTTGGATGCAAGCAGATGGGTCCTCTTGGAAAAAAGGTTGAGAACCACTGGTCTAGACAAGTATTTGACACACACACACACACACACACACACACACACACACACACACACACACACACACACACACACACACACACACACACACACACACACACACACAGTCCTGTCCTTCTCTCCCGTCCTTGGAGAATCTGACTAGCCCACACAGACCCAACCACCTTAAAAGAACAAGAAGACAGAAAAATTTTACTCTCTCTCTCTCTCTCTCTCTCTCTCTCCCTCCTAAAGATTTACATCACTTAAATTTCCCACAATACTAATGCCAAGCAAAGCTGCCAGAAGTATTTGCATGCAAAGACACATCATGGTTTGTGTGTGAGTGCTGCTGCTTGTGTTTGGAGATGTTTTACACTCACATCTCTCAGGCGGCCGACAAAGCAAAAAGACAAAGGGGGTGGGTGACTATTTTGCATCCTGGGTGGTCTGCCCCCACTTGTGGGAAAACTCAATATTTACATTTTGCAATTAGAAGCACTTTTTTCTCACTTTATAATCCACAACATCGACTACACACTTCATTGTGGCGTAGAATGTTGCTGTATGTGAGCTACTATGTTGTGCAGTGCACCTGTTTGTTGGTCACCAAGTGAAACACAGCAGACAACCTCTCCACTGCCCTCCCCTCCAGTTCCCGTTTATCACTCCAAAACGAGCTGCCCTGCACTGACATACTACCTGTGTTTGGCTCTGAAGCTATTTGGGAGCATATTTTCTACCTAATGGAAAATTAATATTGTGTTTTGATGTTGACGGTAACTCTGGAGCAAAGACAGCAGGATGGAAATAATAATAAGAAAGAGGAACAAAGTGACTAAAACACAA